ATATTAACAACGACAATAAAATATATGAGAGTCCATATTAAAATTCCTAGGCATAGGCCTATTATAGGCCATACATACCTAAGCAAGTACATGGATCAATGCCGAATTTCTGACAAACACAACGTCCAGCTACACATGAAGCAAATGCATTGTCACAATATTCTCCCATCTCGTCCATACAATGCTCCCCATCATCGCAGATTGCTTGAATGGTAAATTTTAAAAATCAAAGAAAAGTAATTTATAAAAAACTGCACGCAATGACGTTTAACAACATTGTCTTAACCATTCAATCCGCAGGGGTCTTTAGAATTATTGAATTCTCTTGATATTCAGCCTTTCTCTCTTATTCCTGCTACTTTGTATTTCGTTAGCATTTTTTTTAAATTTTACAATAACATAACATTTTGGTACTAATTTAATAAATAATTTATAGGAAAATTTGTGTATTATTATAAAAATATTGTAAATTTTGATACGCCATGCACCAAATTTTAATTTTTTCATAAACAAAGGCATCCTTGACGTGGTAAATTAGTTTTTGATAAGATATTAATTGATTGATTGATTAATAATAATAATAATAATAATAATAATAATAATAATAATAATAATAATAATAATAATAATAATAATAGTTGGATTGATCCACTCAAATGAAGCAAATGACGGGTCAAGTGGCTTGATGTAGGAGAACGTTTCCTGATGCTCAAGTTGTAAATTATGATTGTATCAGGTATTAACCACTTCTTTAAAACTCAATACCATTTCCTGTTAAATGGATTACAACTCAAAAATGCGGTCGAATTGTTAGTAAATCATCTTCATCATTATCATCATCAACATCATTGTGTTTATGATTATATTATCTGTAATATTAATAATAATAATAATCATAATAATAATAATAATATAATCGGCATAATAATAGGCCTAATAATAATACTATAATAATAATAATAATATTATTATTATTATTATTATTATTATTATTATTATTATTATTATTATTATTATTATTATTATTATTATTATTATTATTATTATTATTATTATTTTATATATGGCTCTATACAACTAACGCTCAGAGCGCTTTTCCACATTATTACCCCAGTTATTGGAACGATGCCTATGAGGGAAATTCCATAGTTTGCTGTAAGAAATATATTAGCGCATTTTGCACTCGAGTCTTCTTAGGTACCCGCTTATACTCCTGGGTGGAGAGAAGTAACGCAGATAAAGTGCCTTTCTCAAGGACACAAGCGAAAAGCGCAGCGAGGGATTGAAACCCCGACATTCATTGTCATATTTGTTGTTGCTGTTATGATTATTATTATTTTTATTATTATTATTATTATTATTATTATTATTATTATTATTATTATTATTATTATTATTATTATTATTAAAATAATCATTATTATTGTTGTTATTTTTATTATCATGTTCATTATTAGAACAGCCTATTCAGAAACACTTAATTCACATACTTGAATCTCTCTGTGGTTTGAATTCTCCAATTACTCTACCAGAAGGTGAAATCCATTGTGGTTGTACCGCTTTCCTAAAATCATCCGTACACATTATTTGTAAATTCGACTTTACATACTGGTAACCCGTTGGCTTAACAATTACTGAAGATACATGACCTGGTTCAAAAAATAAAATCTTGATAGTTAAGAACTAGCCTACTCTCTTAAATATAGACTAAAGCTTGTACAAACGCGTATATATACAAATCCGTATAGACCTACTTACTGAAAATAAACAGGAGATCACCGAACAACAGGCCTACCAACAAATGTGGATGCATATTAAAATGTATTGCATAGAAAAATAAAGTGAGATTCAATTCTGATAGCCATCCTTGTGTTTGATACAAACGAGGAAGTGCGATACAACAATTTACCTCCTGTTATAAAGTTCATTGAAGTTTATCGGCTTCCGCTACGGATGTGGCGTTAACTCATTGGAACACTATGTATTGCAATGTCGAACTTTCCCCTCTTACCACTCCTATGTAGGTCTAGTAGGAAGGCTGTTGTGTATCTTGTTATTTTAATCAAATCTAAAACTATAGCCGTAAAATATAGGCCTGGATTTAACACCGATCCCATGAATGGGTCCATTTATGACGAATGTTGATGAAAATACCAATCATGTTTGAATTAACTCTGTTCAACTACATTTTCTAAGGATTCCAATGTTTTATGCCAAGAATTAGACAATTTGGCCTATACTTAAGTAATAGCATTTTAATCTGAATTAACTTTAAATAAGTTTAGAACTAGCTGTTTAGGAACATTTTTTTAACTTATTGTGTAATCTTCACCTAGTCGTTTTCCTGCTGATTCTTTAAGGCCAACTCAGACAGCGTCGTACGACGCAGCCCGACGCGATTTGTTGTTGCGTCGGGTCTGTGTGAGTTAAACGCAGACGCGATGGTGTGCGTCAGGGGCATTCGCGTCGTAGAATATTAAACATGTTTAATATTTCTCACGACGGCTTAAGACTGTCCCCGACGATAAATCGGGTCGGGCTGCGTCGGCCGACGCTGTCTGAGTTGGCCTTTACATTTTAGCAACAAATATCATGAATTAATTAATGAATTAACCAAGGAGGTACAAAATAAGAATTAACCCTTGTTGACATCGTAGCAATTAATGTTGTGATGATGGTAGGAGACCTGCCTAGTTTGGGGCCGTGAAGGCCAATGCATAGGCACTAGCCTATTATAATGAAGTTTAAAGCTGTTGTGTTTTTTATAAAATGTATTTGTGTTCTGCTACTACATCGGCTCTCAATGTTACTTTTATTAAAAATATATTATGGACACGGCCAAGCAATTTATAACTCAAGTTATTGATATTTTCAGATGCAGTTACGGTTTTAAATAAGCTTTAGCCAACGATCTTTTTCCATTTTAATAATACAATGGATATAATTTAGTCTGAAAATGTTCTGGGAGTCGGAGATGGGGGTAAAAACTCAAGGTCTCCGTAAAGGGTAGAATGGGGTGTGTTTCTTGGAGCCTTTAGAATACACCTCACCATTTGCACCTGCAGCTTTTCAATTTTGTTGAGGTCATTTTTGTTGCATAGTTGATAGGTGGAAGTGCAATCGTTCCAGGGGTGGCGAAGGGGGAAACGGAGCCCCCGACGAAGTGTCCGATTTCCCCGACGAAAGCAAAGTGGGCATGGTCGAGCTTCAATTAAAAGGTTTCGAAAGTGGTCCTAGGGGCGAAGCTCCCGAAAATTTCGAGAATATAGGGGTTTCAAAGGCTTGTTTAATCTATTTTAGAGTCTACTAATATGTAAAAAATACATACAATATTTTTTCTTACTGGTAACCCGTTGGCTTAACAATTACTGAAGATACATGACCTGGTTCAAAAAATAAAATCTTGATAGTTAAGAACTAGCCTACTCTCTTAAATATAGACTAAAGCTTGTACAAACGCGTATATATACAAATCCGTATAGACCTACTTACTGAAAATAAACAGGAGATCACCGAACAACAGGCCTACCAACAAATGTGGATGCATATTATAATGTATTATATACAAAAATAAAGTGAGATTCAATTCTGATAGCCATCCTTGTGTTTGATACAAACGAGGAAGTGCGATACAACAATTTACCTCCTGTTATAAAGTGCATTGAAGTTTATCGGCTTCCGCTACGGATGTGGCGTTAACTCATTGGAACACTATGTATTGCAATGTCGAACTTTCCCCTCTTACCACTCCTATGTAGGCCTAATAGGGAGGCTGTTGTGTATCTCCCCGACGGGGAAGGGGGGCCTGGCCTGGCCGGGCCCCCGGCCCCCCTCTGGCGCCACCTCTGAATCGTTCGTCATAGAATATTACCATAGTAAACCCTAAAAGTATTAAGATGATTAATTATTGATTTTATATAACCGATAAGACGACTTCCTTTCTTAATTCATTTTCAACATGATTATGATCATTTATATTTCTTGAAATAAGTACACCAAGAGGCTTGTATGTTGGCTGTCTGTTTCATTTATTCTCTAATCACCTAATTTAAATAAATGTAGCTAAACAACTAATTATATTACAGCTTCCTTCGTTGGTTTAAAACAAACATTATTAACTGATATTGGATTGTGGGAACATTCGATTGATTTGATAAGCGTCGATGAGAAAAAATTGATTCGCTTACGTCGTGCTTAAAAGCAAGTGCCGCACTTTGTAATACAAGCAAATGAAAGGTGTATCTCTGAAAACTAAGATGTTACTCCACAAATGGAAATGTAAGTATTAATATATTCTCTTTAAAATGAGTATGGTGTTATACATTAACGTAATTTGTAGAATTTGCACATTTTCAAGACTGCGCCGAGTCAAATCTGGGCAAGGAATTGTTTTAATTATTATTATTATTATTATTATTATTATTATTATTATTATTATTATTATTATTATTATTATTATTATTATTATTATTCCGTCGGAGACAGTTCACCCCCTTCGCCCTACGAATTACAATTCGTGTCGAGGAGAAAACAAATTTTTATGTATTTTTTTGACATGTTGTTAAGCTTTGTCACGATTATCAACTTTTCCCTTTAAAACAAATGTTGTATGTCCATATAGCCATTATGTGCGTATAGTACAGTACTGTATACACTGTAGTCCTACTAAATGCTACCGTACAACGAAATGAAGACATTTGCAGTCTAAGCCTCTCATTCTATCTTTAACAAAATATTTCCTTTACATCCAACACCGCCACTTATTACAGGATCGAATAATGTTTTATAAACAAAGTCTCTTTGATAAGCCTGTTGTTTTTTAGCCGTGATAAAAAACAATTCGGTTAAATATTTAGAATGTAGTAACGTACACCAATTATTGTCTTATGTTTAACTTGTTTTGTGTCAATTTTTAGGCAACTATAGACCAAGAAATGATCACTTACGGCAATTTTTGCAATCCCACTAATATGATGCTGTTCCGGCATTGTTGTAAGAATTAAGTCAATACAACTTGAGGAGTGTGATGTAACTCTGGTTTTATCTAAAATTAATTGTCTCATCACAAATAAATTCTCAATCATATTAATAGGATTTTCTGACAGATTTTCATCCAGGACATGTTTAAATCGCCGAGTAACACAATTTCTTTATCCTCCAGGATAACTTTCTCTAGGGTATCTACAATCGTATTTAAGTATTCGTAATTGGCATTTGGCGGGCGGTATAAACAACACACAAGAATATTTTGATTATTTTTTCTAATGAGCTCAATCCAAACTCCTTCAATATCATTATCATTGATATCAATTCTTTCCTTAATTGATAAACTATCCCTCACATAGATATAATTATTGTACTAATTCGAATATCTTGTCTTCATTTCAGACATTGCATGCTGGTTGTATATATGTGCCATCGTTGACCATGGGCTGTCGCAAGGTTGGTTGTTTTTTCATTGGCAGATTTCGAACTAAGAAAATCTAAAGCGACCCATGCTGAATGGCGTATGTGAATGCGCATCTGTGTAAGATTAACGTGTGTATCGGTGGAGGATCTGTCATATAGTTGGGAGGTGGGTGGGGATCTATATTTCCAAGGAGGAGTTTTGAAAAGGAGCATTCTTGTAATTATATATTAGGTTTGTGAAATAATAACAGATACCGTAGTTTTAATTCTGAAAATAAATGTGCGTGTATGTATTAAAAATACTCTGGGAACAAGGCTTCCGTGACAAACATAATTCAAATAACTTTAAAATAATAATAATAATAATAATAATAATAATAATAATAATAAATCACAAAATAAGAATGTGTTTATTATTTAAGGAAATTACAGAGACGATGGTAGGTGTGGAGCCGGTTTTCCTGCACCAAACGGCGATGACGCAATTTGCCCCTGTGAATGCTGTTCTCAGTGGAAATGGTGTGGACTTACTGACGGTCATTGTTTATGTGCCAACTGCTTTGATCAGAGAAGTATATGCGGCCCACCCACAACACCACCACCAGGTATCGCTATGCGTAGTGGCAGAGAAATTGAAAAAGTTGGGGTGGGGGAAGAAGAATTTATTTGTATTTCTCTACACGTAACGCGATGGGTGCGCACATTTAAATTCGACTGTGCAAAGAAAAGAGTGTGGGATGGGTTGTAATATATGTACATTTGTTGGTAGGCTGAGGCGCCCTGGTTCCGTGTACTGTTTACTATCACACGACTACTTATACTCGAGAAAGCGTGTGTTACATTTTTTTGTAATGATTATCGTATTTTGTAATGCCTGTAATAAACCTTGTTTTATTTTGTAATAACTGTCGTATTTTGTAATAACAGACCTTTCGTTTTTGCAATAACTCCCATCATCATCTTCCATTACTGTCTGTGCATAACCTCAGTTGAGTATACTCGCACAATGTGTTGTACAGTACTCATATATATTGCGGTCAAAAGGGAAAGAAGAGTAAATAAATAAATAAATTTAAAAAATAAATTAAGAAAAATAAATAAATAAAAATAAATGAATATATATAAAAAAAATATAATAAATAAAAAAAATATTTTTGTATTGTCGTTTTTTGTACTAAACTGAGCTTTCTAGTTTTGTAAAATCAAATGACTGTTTTCTTCTATATTTTCACATTCATTTATTCATTCATTCATTCGTTCGTTCGTTCGTTTGTTCGTTCATTCATTCATTTATTCATTCATTCGTTCATTCATTCATTTTCAACAATATTTTGTGAAGGTTGTTCATTCAGCAAGAGCAGATCAATTGGGACCTTCAGTACATATAAATTAAAGACAAAAGACTAAAAATTAAACTTTATATTTAACATGAACAAATTAAATTAAATTATAACAGAAAAATGAAATAGTCAGAAAAAAATGATACAAAGATGCAAATGATTATGATACAAATATATCCCCATATATTGGTCTTCCATCAATTAATTATGCTTGTTCTGTTCGGTAATACTTCATCTAATGATAATGTTAAATTAGAACGATTACAAATGCAAATGGCCAGATATATTTTAAAGGCTTCACGCTGTACACCTCAGGCATCACTTTATGGTGATCTGGGATGGACACCAATCTCAACTATACATAAGATATCCAAGACAAAGTTTCTACTTCGTATTGTTGATATGCACACAAAATCGTTGGCCAAAAATAATGTTAAATGCGATGTTGTATTTGAAACTGGATTTGTGTCAGGAGAATCATGTTAGTTATTGTCTATGCCTCGGTGGTCTAAAGGTATGACGCCAGGCCAGTGATCTGGTGATCGTGGGTTCGATTCCCACCTGAGAACAACTTGCGTTTTTTTTTTCGCAATTGTTTTCAAACGTACTGAGTATTCAGTACATTTCACGTCAGGTAGGACAAAATTACACAGATACATATTATGTTTGTTTATTTTTGTTGTAGTTTAATGGAATTTTTCGTCCTTAATTTAATTGTTTTAATTTTTTTTCTTTCGTCATCTTTTGCTTTGTTAAGGCTCGTTCTCAACTGTCAGCATTTTCACAAACGTACAAGCGTACTGTTCTCTGTTACCCCCTCCCTTGATATGGATATTGCAAAACAACTAACTACTGTAAATTACTATATTTGATCACCTCTACATAAGCTAATGTACGTTATATCCATGATTGCATTATAATTTGGTCATTAAAGTTCATGCATATGAAAAAGCGTATAAAGTGGTCTATCCCCCACCCCCCTCCCAGCATAATGTTTGTGCACTTGTGAAAATGCTGCTATTTGGGAGCGACCCCTTACAAATATACAGACAGTGTACTGTATTGCATATTTGTTTAGAAGTATGCCTGTATAAAAGTTACTCCATACCTTTAATTTTCAATGGTATAATTTTTTAATTTGTAGTGTTTTCTTGTATGTACAGTACTTTCCGTGTTTATTTACATATTTTATCAATGATCGTGTTGAAGTGTACTCCTCCTTTAGTTAATTTTTAATTTTTTTGTAAATTAAGTTGAACGCACCACTCTTGTGTGTGCCGCCGTTCCAAAGGCGTATGTTCTTAAAGTAAATAAAAATAACTAGAGATACTATGTTCAATAGAACATGAACCCAATCATTTTTAAGAGATAACTACTGTGACCTTGAACCTCAACCTGTGAACACCCCATGTTTGATAGAAGCCTGTCTAATTCAATTGGTCCAATCGTTAGTCACTAGCAATATTTGATAATTTTCACTATAGTGACCCTTGTGATTTTTTACCTATAGGTGAAGAATAGTTTTTTATGTTTAGAAGGTCCTAAGTATCATTCCTGGTAAATTCGAGCTCAAATGGGCTATTTTGAAAATTTGACCCTGATGACCCCTATGTAACCACTGATGCCAGACAGGGGTGTAGGAGGTGTCACTGGTTCTTAATGATCAAATTTGATTGAATTCGGTTTAATAGTTTTCCATTAGTAACATTTTGAACCTATGACCTATGAACTTTGACATATGGGGTGAAGAGTAATTTTTCGTGTTTAGAAGGTCCTAAGGATCATTCCTGGTAAATTTGAGCTCAATTGGGCTATTTTGAAAATTTAACCCCGATGACCCCTATGTGACCCCTGATCCCAGACTGGGGCGTAGGAGGTGTCACCAGTTCTTAATGACGAAATTTGATTGAATTTGGTCCAATGGTTTGCCATTAGTAGCATTTTGAAATGTTACTAGAGAGAACAAAAGAATAACCATGTAATGACCTTTGACCGTAAATCAATGAACACCATAAACACCCTACCTTATGCCAATACATATGTGCCCAGGACAAGACTGTGCTATGTTATTTGTGACAGAAGAAATCTTTTATTTATTTTTCTGAAAGATTTTTACCCTAATGACCCATTTGTGACCTTTGACCCCAAGCAGTGAACACCCCATGTATGAGAGGTGTCACCCATTATACTGACCCGGTTTGGTTGAAATCAGCACAACCGTTTGGCACTGTAGCGTTCATTGCCAGAAAAAAGATAAACATTACCCCTTAATGACCTTTGACCCCTTATCCCTGAACACACTATAGACCCTGCCTTATGCCAATGTATATGTGCAAAGATCAAGACTGTGCTACGTTATTTGTGAGACAAGTAGTCTTTTATATGATTTTTGGTTTTTTTACCCTAATGCCCCTTATGTGACCTTTGACGCCACGTTGTGAACAACACATAAATGGGAGGTGGCACCGGTCCTACTGACTAAGTTTTATTCAAATCGGGGGTCCAGTAGTATGTCACTAGTAACCTTTTAAAATGTTGCCAGAAAGAAAGAAAGAAACTGCTCGGAAACAGAACCCAGTCAGCATGCTGCTGACTGGGTAAAAATTTACGAGGGTCTGAGGCTCTTAGGTTCATTAATCTTTCATTGTAATACTGTAGTTAATTGTATACTTCTTAACAAAGGTGGCACTTAATTAAGCCTTTGAAACACCTAAATTGTCACATTTTCGGGGGCTTCGCCCCCCTGGATCACTTTCGAAAGGTTTGGAGCGACGCCCGATCAAGCCCATGTTGCTTGATCGGGCATGCCGTCGGGAACCTCAGACCACCCGTCGGGCAAATCCTGACGCCACCCCTGCTTCTTAATTGAGTTTTGTACCAAATTTCTATAAAAACTCCACTCGAGGCATTTACCACCACTACCTAAATAATGTTCCTTTTTTATGAGGTATGCTCTCGGCAAACTGTTATGAAATGGACAATGGTGCCGACTATCGAGGTACAGTAACTGTTACAGTCTCAGGTAATACGTGTCAAAAATGGACGTCACAGGCACCTCATTCACACTCAAGAACATCAGAAAATTATCCAGACACAGGTTTGGGCGATCACAACTTCTGCCGTAACCCCGATAATGAGGAAACTGTTTGGTGTTATACGACGAATCCGTCAGTACGATGGGAATTATGCGATGTTGGTAGTCCAGCAGAAAACTGTGGTACGTTCATTGTAATAACGTGCTCCGCTATAAACATTCTAATATAAAATTCAATATATGATATTGCTTATTTGTTATTTAAATTTGAAGGAGAAAATATGTATACCTCTATATAATTGATGGACATTCCAGTATTCCAAGGTTCTGTCATCAAGTAAAGGAATTTTGTTGTACCAATACGAAGTTTTTAAATCAGCGAATATATATATTTTATTACCTCCGCGAGGATGTTATATTTTCATCAGATTTTTTGTGTCTGTTTTGTTAGCAGCCTCCTGCCTACAGTTTTAGGTTTTAGGACATGCGTCAAATTTTCCTGATATGTAATGGAAAATTCCTTTTTATTTTAGAGACGATCAATGGTAGGGTGTGAATATGAGGACCATTTATAAAAAACACCCCACACTATAGATATCTCAAAAAAATCATTTGATTTGAATAAAACTTTCCGGAAGAGTTAATCAAGTTACAACGAAGATATAAGTATAATGTTTTGTCACAATGCAGATTCGGGTATGTATTTAAAGGGTCGTTGAAAGTGAGAAGGTAACCTTAGCCAGCGAACCGTCCGACCGTCTTTTGCACGGCCTAAAATTATTTAGGACGGCCACTTTTACCGTGACTGCTTGGACGGTTTGGCCTAATAAGCTCGGCCTAGCCAAATTGGGCCTGGTATACGTTTAGCAAATTCTATATATTCTTCAAATCTATCGATGTTACATTAAACTAAAGCTAAATCATACTTTCAGTTGCGCGGATTATTAGAATAATTATTATTATTATTACAATAAGGAAATATTGGATAACCTTCTTAATAATAATTGTCTTAATAATAATATTTTTAATGTTATTTTTTTTGTTTTTTTAAATAATTATGTAGATAGGACGTTGGATGAATTATTGCTATTTTTATATAACCAAGTATTTTTCTTACATCTAAATAATTTAGCTCCAACGGATCCGGTAACAACACAACGAATTACAACAGATGGTAAGTAAAAGATGTAATGACTGATTATTCCATCCAATTGTTATTTTTCCCCTATGGTCCCACAAGACGACAGCGTAAACACACGTGCGCATACCGTAAATGCTTGGATAAGCGCTGCTCCAAAATTAGGGTCAGATTTATCAAACTAGAAAATTCGTCTAAGTCCATTTTCTTGCTTACGTCAAATTTATCCATATTGCTTAGCAAACAAAAAATTGCAAAATAATATGATCTAAGAAGAGTTATAATTTTAATATTATTGAACCGTACACTTTTATAATAGTGGCACACACTGTGAAGTGGTGCGTTCACAATAAAACATTCAAAGAACACAGTACATTCGTACCGGTACATTAAAACACAGTATAGTATAAACACGAACAATACATGAAAAAAACAGTAAAATGACAATTTTTAAGTTTAACATTGAAAAGAGCATTAAAATATCAAAATTTCAAATTATGGCAGAGAAATGTTTGAATTATTTTTTTAAAGACCTATATGCACACCAGTAATAGAAGAGTAATTAATATTTAAATTCTTAAACTTTAAGGATTTAGACAAATTAAAAGTTTTGAATGAAAAAATATAATAAGACACTTAAAATAAATAAAATACAAAATATAAAATTGATAAGAAATTCGCTAAAATTTCACATCTCGCTTTCCATGCTCTTTTAAAAAGCCATATCAAAAATATTACTGGTTGTTTCGTTTTTTTCATATTCTGCAGTTTCAGTTTCAGTTTATTTATTAGACTAACAACAAGGTCGGGGCAGCTTCAGCAAACAAATCACTATAACGTTTTCAAGTCAGCTGCCCCCTCATACAATATGCAATTCGATAAAAAGACAAAATTACAATCACAAAAGACAGAAAAAAAAACCAATTTTATCATCAAAAGTGATATATTTTAAAAAAATAAATAAAATAAAGGTACAGAGAATTATATATTGTCGCTGCCTAGTAAAATATTGAGTTTTGTATTTAAATCACTACTAACAAAATAGTTCCAAATATCTTGGTGGTTTGTTTTATACATTCATTTCAAGCTTATTTAACTCATCAATTCTTATATATATTGTTAATTACAGTGCTTCTACAAATGAATAAAAATGGTTTAAATCTTCGATTTCTGATAGGCACAAAGGGCACATCTCGTCCATGATATCGACCCACTTAGATACTCTGTTGAGATGCAAAGTGATAGAAAGTGCTTTAAATTTTAGATTTGCACCTTTAAAATCAATCTTATCAAGTAAATATTTCTCTATCCCTCTATAAAGAAAAGTAATACGTTGAAATGATTTATAATTTGCCTCAATTCTCAGGAGATTGCCATCTTAATTTTGCATATAAAACCTCTTTGCATGTGTATCTTGGCGCCCTAAGTATAAATCTTGGCCATATTTATTTGTAAACGTTCTAAACGTTCAATATCATTTTTACCTCCAGACCAGGTTGAACAAGCATAATTAATTGAGGAAATACCAACAGCCTTCCATAAAATGTTCCCGTAGTAAATCCTGTTAAATCATCTTGGTCGTTTAGGATAGATTGAAGAATATACCCTATTATTTTATTACCTCGATTTATTACTTCATTTATGTGCTGGTGATCTAACAAATTTCTTGATATTATACAGCCTGAATATTTGTATGTGTCAACCTCAATAATGTTCTCTTCACCCAATTTCCAGAGCCTGTTATCATTCACTCTGTTCCCCACAAACAATACATTTGATTTTTTATGATTATTCCATATTTATTACTAAAATCATTTGCAATTTCTAACATGTTTTGCAACTCATTGGAATCATTTGCTAATAGTACGACATCATCGGCAAAAATAAACAGCTCATTTGCGTTTGATTAATACAAACTTCACATTTGGCCGACCGAAGTCTTTTTGCTAACTTATTAATGTATATTGAAAAGAGTATCGGTGACAAAACACGTTGCTTTAAACCTTCTGTAACTTCAAAATATTCTGTTTCAATTGCCCCAAATTCAACTTTACGCAGCCCTGCTCCGTTCTGATTTGTTCATGTTTGAAAACCCTGTTATAGCATGGTGATAGCAGCTGTACTTGTAGGCTTTGCGTTATCATGAAGCAGGTAATGATAGGGCAAATTTATATTTCCCCATCTTAGAATTGAATTATATTGAATGTATTTTTGTGGGGGACCCTTATTGGTCGCGTCCCGGCCGTAGGTGTTTTCCTGTATTTGACATAGGCCCATATTTATTGTTTCTATTTGTTACCGGTATCTATTTAATAATAATACCCACTTTAGGTTTGACGAAAATGCCGAAAGACTTGAATTTGTGTATTTTCATATAATTAATGAGGAACACAATATACTTCTGTTACATTAATTGATTTTACCCCCTCCCCTCCCAATGAAGTATTACTACTTAATTATAAAAACTTTTTTTCTTACATTAAAATAATTTATCGTCAACAGATCCGGCAACAACACGAGTTTCAACAGATGGTAAGTAGAAAAAGAAGACAAAAAATATCCACTTTATGTTTGGTGGAAACGCAGAACAACTTGTTGTGTATTTTTATATAATTGACGAGGAACATGGACTGTTACATTAATTTATTTTACTTTCCCTATTCATTCGTTAAATATCTGTAAAGCCAATAACCTGTACATTTTAACATCCAATGTTTGTAGAGTATTTTTGTTACGTTTCGTTTAAAAAAATATATATAATCTATAAATTGAAAATGTTTTAGGTCCACACGTGGTGAATATAGCTTGTCAAGAGGCAATGGGCATGGAATCCTACGCAATTCCGGATATCCATATTCAAGCATCTAGTTCGAAGTCATCATCCCAAGGACCGCATCGTGCGCGGCTTCACATGCCAAGCGATGGTAATGGCGAGGCGGGATGGCGAGCAAACGAGAACAACCAAGAACAATGGATTCAAACTAACCTAGGTGGAGTAAAAATTGTTACCGGTGTTATCACGCAAGGAATGGCCACCAAAAACAAATTGGTTACTGCATTTGAGATCCTCGTGAGCATGGATGGTGAAAGTTGGAAAACTATTTTAGACACTGAAGGAAATTCACAGGTTTGTTATTACACGACGAACACGTTGTTGATTTTATCGTACATACAAAATATACAAGTAATTATAAAAAGAGTAAGAGATAAACATGAGTTCCATAACAGACAATTTTCCAGGTTTCAACCCATTCTATATCTTTCTTTCATTCGTATCTTTCTCCGTTTTGTTTGTTCCAGAACTCTATAGAGTGAATTCGAACAGGATTAACAATAATATCAACAAACAACTACAACAACAAAAATAGAAATGATAATTTATCCATTAAACGAAATAGAATGGAGCAATTTAGTTATATATTTTTCGGTATCTTTTATTGAACAGGAAAAACAAGAGCAGTACAACATTTGAATCCTTGGCAGCCATTGGTTAAATTATTGATTAAACTTACAAAGATCAATTACAAGTTTTAAAAAAAATATTGTACTTAAAAAAAAAACTCAATTCAATTTAAATTATTTAATAATAATAATTTAAATTATTTTTTTTATTATTATGCAAATTATTCTTTTATTTTTGAACTAGTTAGTTAACCCTTTAGGCCTACACTAGCCGATCCAGGAATTAGAAAATAAAGGGACCCGGGGAGGGACTTTCACAGATAGAGAGTCTACACCACTTTAGTCCCAACATGATTGGGGCTGAGAGAAGAACATTTTGATTATGGTACCTGTAGATAGATGGACTAAAATGGCACCCTCAAACTTAAATTTAATCATTTTCTTTTTCCCCATTTTTAGAAATTATTTTGACAAATTTAGGCGCGGGGTTGGGTGGAAGCTACTGGCCTAAAAAGTACAATTTTAGCATGTTTTGTTTACACGACTTTTCGTCAGTAGTTCATAGTAGCTGGATTCATCGGGTGCTGGTCAAGGCAGCATCCTCTGCTGATGAAAGCTTGACGTGTAATAATAATTTAGGTTAGTCAAAAAGCCCCTTTTAATACCGTACTGTTAGTTTTATTATGTTTTCTAATAGGTTTTCGATGGCAATGTAGATGACAACACACCAGTGACAAACATGTTGCCAAATGCTACATTAGCACGCTACGTGCGACTTCATCCAACAAGTTGGAATGGCGGCATAGGAATGCGATTTGAGATCCTCGGATGCTATAGTACGTTCCTTAATTTTCATTTAACTTTTAAACTATGAATGTCTGTACAGACTAAGACGATGATGATAATATATCAACCAATCAATATTATTGATTGATTGATTGGTTGATTGATTGATTGACAGATTAATTGGTCAATCGATTGATTTATTAGTTGGATGGTACAATCCTGAATGTGTAGAATAAGTGACTGAGTGGGTGGGTGAGTGACTGACTGAATGACTGACTGATTAACTGACCAACTGACAGACATCAGCCCCTTAGCTAAAGGGGGAGGGCGTTTCCCCCTGTAAAAATGACAATTGGGTATGAAAAATGTAACGAAGAAAATTAACAAGTATTTATATCTTAAAATTTATATGGGCCCTATATGCCTAATACAACCTCGACAAATACCTATTATATTCATTTCATGAGTTATCATTATTCTGGTCCCAAAACCTACACTAGGAGAAGATATGTCTGAGGGGAGTGTTTCCTTCAAGGAGTTATTGTGTATAGTTAACTGCTCTCTTGGTAATTGGTATTCATAGGATGTTTTTTTGTTGTTTTTTTGTTGTTTTTGTTTTTATCTATTTCGTGAATATTTACTCTATTCAGGTACTGTATTAGATATTTCATGAATATCTGTTGTAAGCCAAATTTTAATCCTCTGTTGTTTGCACAAAAACCAGACTACCACTTTCAACCGTGATCAGACCTCGGTAGGCTATATTGTAATTCCAGACCCTCCCCCACCACCCGATTACCGAATCTAGCTACGGGGCCGATGGTAAACAGAGGAATTGATCGCAATGACTTGTGAATCGTTATACTGTAAATGAATTGACTGATATTGATGATTAAATGACAGATTCCTCGTGGGGAAAGGTTGGGCCAAATGTATACGGCAATCTCCCAGAAGTATATACATGGGACGAAGCCAGTGGAGGTTGTGGAGTACTAGAAGCAAGATTGCTCGACGGTGATGAGTATGACGCCTTTGGACACATAAATCCAGAAAACTGGACTGCAATATGGATCAGTCACTCTTCAGGTAGAGTTACACACTGTGGTCGTAGTTGTAACAGGGGTAGATTCAGAATTGTTCAAATGCGGGGGTGGGGGTAGTGGGCATTATTCTTATTTCAATACATAATTTTAATATGCACTGAAATTTAAAAAAATAGTACCAGGGGAGGTGTGACCCTCTACATTGTATCTGCGCCTGGTAATACTATGGTAGTAATTAAATATGTAGGCCTGTGAAGGATTTTTTCTTTGTATTTCCAATTTTTTGTTTATTTCCAAAAAATAAATCCCGTGCTCAGGGAAACATAAAAGCACAGAGCAAACAAAGACAAAAGACACAGAAATATATTTCCACCCATAATTTTACAGCAAAAAAGTGATAAAAACACCTTCAGTACACACTCTTCAAATCCACCAACCCCATTACCCAAGCCAACAATCTGCATATCGCTGCTAAATGAGCAGTCCAACTTTAAACACTATTTCCTACCACAATCTATAATTTCCAAGGGACATAACATCTTTAAAAATAACTTGGCGTGATATTTCAGAAACCAATTTAAGGTAAAAAAAATCCAGAAATATACACCCTTCTTTTAAATTTAATTTTTTTGCATACTTTTGATACCAGAACCCCAGGACTATTCAGATAAAAACTGTCTTAGTATGTATTTTGTTCAACTTTAAAATTACATTTCAGCAACTTCTTATAATATTGAAAACAGGCTAAGACTTTTCCAATCTACTCCCAAAAATCATTTTTAATTATAATAATACAGAGATTTAACAGCAAGTCAGGTTTAAGGATGTTTACTCCAAAAATAATTTATCATCCAGTGTTCTGTTGCGTTGCCTCATTCCGCCAAATTTGAAAACCCATCCATATTGGTTTTACTCTTTTGCAGTCAAACAAAAGATGTCTCAATTGTTTCACTGTGCATTTTACAGATTGAACAAACATAATTATTCAAAATATTGTATTTGTTATAAGGCTATTTGTGTTGATTTTAAACAGAAAAAACCTGGGATTTTGTATCTTGACCACATTTGAAAGGTAAAGAATAAAATATGATTCACATACTTTTCTTTAAAATTGTGGAACATTCTTCTACGTAAACACGCGGTCTGCTTTCATATAACAATTACAGATTAAAGATTACATTTCCATCATATGGCCTGGGGCAGCAGTACGAACACAGAACACGGAAACAAGTGTGCTCAGAAAAATTTGGCCCGCGGGCCGCCTATTAAAAACCATGATTCCATCGATCCAGTGCATCTCTCCTCACAATCACAATGTTACCTTCATAGCTGTGGGTTACATATCTTTTAGGTGTAATAATAATAATAATAGTGAAAACATAATCTGCAATTGGTGAATCAACCCTGCATACAGTACTTGTCTTTCTTGGGAATTAATTAATTCATCCATGTTAGGATCACTCTCACTCGCACCGTATTTGAATGCGAGTTAGGTAGACACTTGTGCGATGATGTCATCTTGTCATTAGCCAATCAGAGCGCTTTATATGTGTCCCTATGCTTGGCTCTTTAGGGGAAAAAAAATTGTCCCCGGACCCCTTAGGATAGCGTTGTCTCAATCGGCCCTACTTTCGCCCCCCCCACCCACCATTTTGGACATGTCTGGATGTTGGTACATAAGTATATTGTACCAATGCTTCACTACACAGTGACACATCAATCAATCACACTTAACTTTCAATAATGACATGGAGGGAAATAATACTCTGAAAGCAAGTGAAAAATAGTGTGTGTGGAGGTGGGGGTGTGTGTGTGTGTGTGTGTGTGTGTGTGTGTGCTAATAATAGTGGTCAAATAAATATGCATAGGCAATGTTTGTACGTGTTATTTCAAATTTACAGAATTTGAACTGGTCTTCAAAGCAGTATCAGGTGCGACATCAGATATAATGGACCTATTTACATCAGCCGAAACCTTCAACGATGGCCAGTTTGCAGCAATGAGTCTAGATTCAAGACATACGCGTAGTTTTGTTAACGAACTGCTAGGACATTGGAATGACAGGAACATACAAAAGGTATGCAGTTGATAAACGTTCAACATATTTATTTAAAAGTAATTTACGAATGTATGCTGAACATAAAACTAACGGAATGATAAAACATTACATTCTCATGATTAGACAAAACATGAATATATAATGGTACTATAAATATGCCTAATGGTATACTATGGTTTCTTTAAAGGTGAAAGTGGCTCTTTACGAAGATGGAAGTGAGGTCATGCACATGCTCTTCGACGGTGTTGGTTCAAATCATATGAGTTTTTTCCAAAACCAGAACCTGATATTTTCACCCTGGAGTGACCTACACTCTTCTCAAACCAACTTCTTTAGTATTGACGGACACGAGTAAATGTTGTGCTTCTTTTGATGGACCTTTCTGTTAAGACCCACAACGCCTACTAACGCATGTGTTTGTGTATTACACTGTGGTTTTGTTGAATCTTAGCTACACGTGAATGCTCGAATAAGCGGAGCCCAAAATGCGATTTTATTTATTCTTCTTGCGTTGCGTATTACGTTAATTTCAGGATTCTACATGCTCGACGTACGCTAGTTACGGGTTTGGGCATGCGTATTTCGATTTGTTTACAAAATGACGGAGCTATCGCGCTGCATATTGGGTACTTAACGTTAAAAGTTAATGTTAACGTCGTGCATCGAAAACTCCCTACTATTGGTGTATTGTACGTTGTTGGCTCTATATATTTTGCATTTGGATTTTCAATGATAGAAATTCAAAATGTTGACATCCTTCATTTTGTAATTTCCAGACGTGCTTCTAGGAGGTGGTATATCAACAAATCCCACGGTGGATGCAGTAATGATAATGGATGGTTTCTTGTTAAACCGGGCATACAGGTGGATTGTCAATACGAGGAATGCATTGTCTACCCATGTTTTATATACAATAGTATGGAAACTGTACAGACCTGGGGAAGTAAGGAAAACTAGTGTGTTCAATTAGGAATGTAATAAATGTGATACGTACGTTGCTGCAAAGTAATATACAATAAATACTTGTCGTGTATGTTTGAACTTACACTATTTTTTGCATATGGATCTAGTCCTATTACGTTTCAGTTACAGTATAGAATATATACCCGACAAAATAATGTAATACATTAACAGGAATCTGTCCCCAAATTTTCCAAAGCTTGTGAAGTATCCCTAGATTATGTAAAGAACATCGTTTAGAGAAACGTCCCATTTCTGTTGAAAATGTTCTGAAGCAAGATGCCTCTTCTGACCTAACAAGACACACTAGATTAATTAACAAATATATTGATGACTTGTTTTCTCAAATTTTTCTTTGTTTATATATTTATTAAATTTTCTTTTATGAGGGTAGCTCTTACAGCGAGGCTGACTCAAAGAGGCCCTCTTATCACATACAAAACATGTTCAGTAACACGAGTTAAATAGAAAGATGAAACACAGATAGCACCATGATAAAATAGATTTTCTACAAAAAATTTAAAACCAATCGCAAAAACAGAAACAATATATAAAAGTTAGTCTCAAAAATCGATAAAATTATCTTTAAAATATCTCAATTTCAATAAAATCAGGTTTAACTAGACTTAAGTGCATTTTTTAGTATATTTTTATAAGAGTAAAATGTATTGCTGCTCCGCATATCAATAGGAATTTAATTAAGATAGGAAGGACTTTTATAACTAAAACTACATTTAAACATTTCAGTTCTGGGCTTGGGCAAATTAAAATGACCAACAGTGCACGCTCTAGTAGACATGCTTCTCGTTTGCACTTAATCAAAGAGTATACTCTTGAAAAGTTTGCAGAGGTAGTCTGGACCGACACCAGCAGACCTATGCTAGGCAGCGAAGTAAAATTGATTCTTTGTTATTTTCCGGTTTGTGATGTTGTTAATTTGATATCAAATCGAATCAAAAGTCAGTATGAAAACAACTGAGCAATTATTTAGGCCTGTAATGCAATAGATTCATTTTGACATTTCAGCTCTCAGTCAGTTTAATATAGAAGGTAAACCAGCTTCTCAGAGCAGTATTGCGAGTAGTGGCGCAGCAGGGCGTGCTGTAGACGGAAACACAAATGGAAACTATGGGGCACGCAGCTGTATGCATACAGGTAGGCCTACATTAGGAGACCTTTCAACATAATACGTCTAGTTTACACGGGCCACTTTGATCTGTGATTCGATCACGATTAAAGTGAATCACGATTGCGATTCTGAACATGCAGTCCAGTGTAAGCGATTCTCTTGATAGTTATATCTACTAATACATAAGTTAATGTCCTTCAAATGTAGCATGCTCATCACATGTATTTCCACGTATTTAATGAAACTGATTTCTATGTTGTACAAACTAAGCATATACATTACATCATGAGTTTTGTGTATTTCCACGTATTTAATGAAACTGATTTCTATGTTGTACAAACTAAGCATACATTACATCATGAGTTTTGTGTATTTCCACGTATTTAATGAAACTGATTTCTATGTTGTACAAACTAAACATACATTACATCATATGAGTTTTGTGTTTTATTTATGACATAGACCATAATAATAGGCCTATACTGTACCGTACTTACTTTGAAATTGTGCGTTTCAAATTATGCGGTAACGAATGTTAACATTTGTGGACTCTAAATAAGGTAAATGGTGTATATACAAACTACAAGATTATAGAAAGCAAAAAAATGTACAAAAATGAAAAGTTATTTTTTAGATTTTTTCGCAATTTTAGATTTTAGAAGTTCTAATTGGTGGAAAGTTGACTTGCAAGAGTCATTAACAATTTCAAGCGTTCGGATTTACAACAGAGTTGGTAAGAAACATGTTGACCACAAAACCAGATATAAGACGTGTTTAACTGGTTTAAAACAATTTAATAAATATTAGTGTTATGATAACCTATGTGGAAGTGTGTTTTGATATAATTACCGTAAAGATTCCTTTTATTTTAAATATAATTTTACTTCTTGTCAAAAGATATAAGCCTATTTACAGATGCAAGATCAAAGAAATACAATTGAACTTCAGTATCTTTAAAAAAATGGATCTATTCAACTATAGGTTATGGAAATACTATTGCTACAAATAGATAAATACATAAAAAATAGGAACCCGTTAATCAATTGATTGTTCAATTGATTGCATTGATGCAATTTAAGACGGGCACATTCGGATTGGCTCAGCGTTTGGCTCGGTCTGTTTCAGATGGATCAAGATGCTGGGTTGATCTGACCTGTGTGGTTCTCTTCTTCCTTGGAGAAACGTCACTGGAAATTAATACAAAAAAATAAAATAAATGTACAACTTAAGCCACATTTACGCTAGAAACTCTTACGACACAACTAATTATCATCGCGGACTTTGTATTCAACACTGCGCGCATCTGTATTGTGTCGTCGTGTCGTAATCGTGTCTAGTTTTATGGCAGACGGATAATTGTACGTCCCATTTGGTCGGTATTATTAGTTTTCGCTTATAAACAATATTTTTGTGTATGTAAATAATGGATAATTCATGCATTAAGAATAGCATATTGCTTATCATATAATGTAGTAGAAAAATATATAAAAACAGTTTTTATATACCTGTAAATAGAAATAGATAAGCTAGTACATATTAAATCACTCAGTGATTACTACCAATTGAAACCGATTGGTATTTGCAGATTGTTGCAGTGACCGGATGATTGGAGGTGTTATTCGCTTTGGATTAAATGAAGACATTACCTTGAATGCTATGTGTGCAGAGACTGTCACATCTGAGAAAGTCCAAAATGGACCAGAAATAAATATCGATTGTGCAGGTTTATTTGGGCGCTACCTTAGCCTGTCGATTGATAACGGTCAATCTCTTCAGATATGCGAAGTCCAAGTTTTTCTCTGTAAGTAATAATAATAATAATTGTCGGCTTATATAGCTATATATCGACTATTATTAATGAGGCATCAGTATTCATTTTATTTTGTAATGGCCTAGTGTAGTGTATTTTGGATGCAATAAGCCTGGTCCCACTGTAACTGTACAGTTAAAAGTTCTGGGTTAGTGAAATTTTGTTTTCTGAAGCGTTTCAAAACTAGGTTGGACGCAACATTACAGTGAAATGCAATATTCACCCTCCACCTATACGGTAACATTTACGCAAGGTTGATAGAAAATTCTGCTGATATGAAACAAAAAGTCTACTTGGCTTTAAAATGACAGAATCACTTCAAGTGGAATCGTTATGAAAACCCTTGGTATGTGACTAAAACTGGCTTTTAGTTATGTAGGCCTATTAGTCTTTGAAAAATGTATTCTGTAAAAGGGAACTTCGAGTTTGGAATATTTACATATTGTTTATTTATGATATTATGATTGGAGTTGTGGCGAAAACGAGGCAAAACATTTTTTTTTCAGTAAAATTTTACACTGATGATTTACTGGTAAATAATGGTAAAAATTGAAAACTTGTAGGCCCTATAGCGCATATAATTATTGTCCCTATGTGCTGTGACCAATGGCGGATCCAGGAAAATAGCACTCTTGGACTAAAAATTTGAGTAGGATTTTCTTTGTTTTCTCAATTTTTGTTTAAGTTTTGAAAAAGTTACTAGTGACAGAGAAAAATAAGAATGAAGAACTGTATTCCACCGTTTCATTAATGTTTCCGGGGATTTACATATAATGAATATATTTTATCTTTACAGCGACATTTAAAAGAGCCAACGTCTTCGGTGTTTCTGTTCAACATTCAGGTAGCTACATCATCATTATCATCATCATCATCATCATCATTATCATCATCACAATCATTTACATCACATTCTAATTAATCATCAACATTGTCATCATCAACTACATAATCTTCGTCAGCACCATATTCTTCATCATTTTCATAAATCTTCATCATCATCATCCTTATCATCATTTATAATCAAAAGACACACATTTTAATTATTTTCTCTGATTTACCAATGACCACTCTGCCGATACTTTTTGTGAAACGTTGCATAGTTCAATCATTGCTAAAGTATCGTTGTTATATTAGATATTTATATTCGTAATCATAAGCTATTGTTATTCAAATTTGTTTTCTGTTTTTACAGATATCACTCGGTTTTGTCGTAAACTCGATTTTCGTGATTTATTTTTGGATGATATCCCATGCAATCAACAAGTATTCCCAGCCATTTGTAAAGTTGACCTTGGTAAACATTAAACTCAAATTATTATTATCAATATACTAATTGCAACTTTCAATATCTACAAAACTGTTACCCTTGATTACATGCCTTTATTAAACCCTTTTAGAGGTACCGTTTGCTAAGAGCAATTCTTTATTGTAGATAACTTAAATGCTCGAATAAGCGCCGCTCTCGAATAAGCGCCACACCAAACGAGATTTTTGTTTTCTTTTGTTTTTTTTTGCTATTGCGCCGCGGGGCTTATTCGAGATTCTATTTTAATAACCGCTGCGGCGCTTGAAAGTACATTATTACCCTGTGTGTCATGAAACATTTGAGAGACAGGTCTGTAAATACAATGCACACAGTTTGAATAAATAACAAAATAAAGACAAGCATATCTTTCTAAACGTTTATTAACGATGCTATGTAGGGCCTATGATAAGTACCGAATTACGGAAATACGTAAGATACAGTAGGTAATGGGAACGTGCATGAAAAGCGCCGCGCCAATATTTGTTTAATATGCGCCGCTCTCGAATAAGTGCCGCACTGAAGACTCCAAAATTGTTTAAGTGCTGCGAGGTGCTTATTCGAGCATTTACGGTAGGGACCATCATGATTCTTCTTCCAGGTAGGGATAAAGCGAAAATAGACTGAACTGAACAGTACAAAGATCCATATGCCAACTCTATATCGGCTACTTTACAGTTACATTGTCCATGGGGTCATTCAAGTATTATGTAACGTAGAGGTGGGTGGGGGTATAGTGGAAAATGTTACAGTGTGTGACATAGGGGTGGAGGGGTGTTGCTTGAAGTGTTACATAACAAAATTAATTTTCATGGGAAGAGAAGAAATATTAAATATTCAAACTTGTATGATATTACTCTATTGAAACATATTACATCAGTGTAATACAATGTAATGTAACACAGTTGTGTTGAATTTGTGAAATCAATAAACAATGTTCGGAAGGTGGGGGTGGTTCTAGAGTTACATAACATTTAGAGGGGTTTGGAAAAGTGTTACAGAGGGTTACAGGGGGTGTCAATATTTGCCAAAAAATGTGTTACATAATACTTGAATGACCACCAATGGAAACGTCGACATTGACATGCTTACAATAAGAATTTTAAATAAATATATTTAAATTATACAAGCATTGGTGTAATGCATATCTCAATTGCTCCTTGAATCCAATACTAATTAACTATTAACTTGAGATCTTTACCATTAGTTTCTATACTGGAAATCATCAAACTAGCTTTTCGTGATTTACTTATATTAAAGTTTTTCTAAGTATCTAAAGCAAGCATAAAACAAACTTTGCATCACTGTACTTTTTACAGATATTTATTATCTTATTTAGGATTCTCTCTCGAGTGATTTCATTTATCACAAGTTTTATGTTAGCGTTGTTTCGTAACAGAATGAATCTCAGTAAAGAAAATTTCGTATGTTTAAATATCCACTGCACTCTGTTTCCTTTGGGCTACTTTAGGATAGAGATAAATTTAGATATGTTCACGATTTTCAATCTAGATTTGTTCATATATGATCTGAGATGATAATGACCTCAGACTAACCCCTTAAAAACCACTATATATATGTTCAAATAGATAACTTTAACGATTTTTCAACATGGGCAATTTAAAAATCGAACAATAATTTATAATGTGTCCTTTTAAGATTGTGAGGTCATGAATGGATATTGTAGTCACGACTGCGTCAATAATGTTAATGGTACAGTATGTGCATGCCCAGATCCTTTGATACTAGAAGACGATGGATTAACATGTGGTAAGTTCGCTCCTGCACATTCTATAAAAGTGCATAAATAGTCCGTATCTAGGATTGTCATGATGCAGGTGCGTAGGGGTGCAAAATGGGCCCCGGTTGGATCGCAGTTTCATTTTTCCCCAATATTATGGCAATTTCAATGCCCAAATAGGCCTACTGGCCCAATGCTTACTGATTGAAACTTAGATTTAAGTTACCATTTTAATCATTTTTACAGAAAAATAACAAATTTTATATTCAATACATTCTCGACTGTTTTAAAAATATTTGGTCCTTTTCCGATTTGGGTTTGGTACGCACACATCGCAGCCCCTCAATACGACGGGCCTGGTTATAGTCATATTATAATGCTAGAATAGGGAAAAAAAATTATTATTATTATTATTATTATTATTATTATTATTATTATTATTATTATTATTATTATTATTATTATTATTATTGTTGTTGTTGTTGTTGTTGTTGTTGTTGTTGCTGTTGCTGCTGATGCTGCTGTTGTTGTTGTTGTTGTTGTTGGTGGTGTTGGTGGTGTTGGTGTTGTTGTATATCATCAATTAGTGCAGTTTTCGATTCAATCATCATTTCGATTCGTCATTGCTAACGATTTTTGACCATTCTCTTTATCTTACCATACTCACTAAGATCTAACCATATTTTAATATTATTAACACTGACTCTATATGATGTATGTATGCACCATACATTGTATGGATTACTAAGCTTCTATGAATTGATTTATGTAATTTGTTCTGAAGGATTTTGTTGTTTCAATGTATGTTTTCGGTCAACCTCCAATGAGAATGTGTTTTATCATTATTGTGTAAATATTATATGTAAATAAATGTATAAATGTAAGAACAAGAATGCATGTGCAAAACCATTCACATAATTACATTGCTTTTTATTTGGCCAGATAATATATATATATATATATATATATATTAATTTTAATTTTAAATTGTTTTGCATTATATGGTCGTTTGCTGTTTTATGGGTGTTTCCCATTTGCCTTTCAAACTATATGTATATATATATATATATATATATATATATATTTGTATATATATATATATGTATATATATAAGTATGTATATATATATATAATATTACATATATTATAAAACGGGCAAGCCATTGCTTTCCGTCTTGCTTGGTGTTGTTTGTTTTTTTTGTGTATTTTTTGTATTTTTCAGTTGTGTTGGTTATCAGAGAAGTGATCTTGACAACTGCAAAATGCTACTTCAAGAACATTTGTTTTACAATCAAAGCAATAAAAAAAAAACGAGAAAAAAGCAAAGGATATAATGTCAATTTTTGTTTACTATCATAATTCACTTATTTTAATCTAGTCGCAATAGTGATTCAAACACCGCAATAGTTTTGGGGTATATTTTATTTTATTTTTGAGGATTACGAATAAAATTCAAGAAGCCAAGTTGATGACTACAATATTTTATTGAATGTTGTCTATATTAATGTTTGTTACTTTGATCACGGGAGCAGAGACAATGAATTGTGGGATCAGTCACTGTCAATCAAAAAAGCGGTTGAAGAGAACTATTAATAATTATTTATATACAATTCTTATATTTATTTATAGAACACACTCAAGAATCTTTACACACATTTCATGCATGTACCACAGATCCTATCTGTGCATGTACTAAAAAATTACCAAAAACAATGGAGTGACGGTGTGTCACATCTAAATGGAGAAAAATAAGAATGAAGAACTGTATTCCATCGTTTCATTAATGTTTCCGGGGATTTACATATAATGAATATATTTTATCTTTACAGCGACATTTAAAAGAGCAAACGTCTTCGGTGTTTCTGTTCAACATTCAGGTAGCTACATTATCATTATCATCATCATCATCATCATTATCATCATCACAATCATTTACATCACATCTAAATGGCCGTGGGAAAAAGAACATCATCAACCTGCTGCTCCTTCTTTAAATAGTGGTCGTTTCAGACTGATAACATACAGCTACATGCTTGATGAACTTGTAAATATTCAGAACCTTCTGTTGATCGCCCACGAATCATACTTGAAATAGTTAAAAGTACGATTTTACAGCATTTTCAGTGTAGCTACAATATTGAAAACATCGGTGTATGAAATGAAAACATTACAATTTCAATTTATTTCGCCTCAATTATAATAATGATGATGATAATAATAATAATAATAATAATAATAATAATGATAATAATAATAATAATAATAATTAGAAGAAAACATTCCAGTATGCATACAATAAAATACATAAAATCCATAAAATATAAAATCTTGCATCACATACAAAAAAGCATCACATACAAACAAAAGAAGTAATAGAGTTAAAATAATAAAATCCATTCAGAACAGTGTTAAAATCAATAACAAAAATGGCAAACTTAACACTCACAAACACCATAGGAAACACAATCAACAAAGTTGCACGATTTTAGAACATTATGACGGTTATTATTATTAAATATGTTACAAATGGAAAAATCATTGCCTGTTATGTTATCGATTGGGGTATTTTTAACATGCACTTGTTTACAATTCAGTAAATGTAAATAAAAAGACCTGGATTTTGAATCACTCATAAATATCTGGTTGATTAAGTTAACTTGATTGGCTTTTATTGGTTTCAGAAATATTAGCTAAAATAAAGGGCATGAGTAACAGCGGTATTCCTACATGCAAACGAATTTGTAGTAAAGCGCCGAAATCGTATAAAAACTTTAAAAGCGCCGTCATGTTGTTCATTAATTTTTACAACCAATCACAGGCTTAGAATGACGCCATCAGGGTCATAATTGATTACGGCGTTAACTTGTTCAATAAAAGCGCCGTTATCAAAATTAGAAAAAACGCCGCTTTGAGTAGCTGGCGCAAGGGTCACACTTTTAGCCAATCACATTCCGTCTTTCATAACAGTCAGCGGATCGGAGGAGCGAGAGCATCCAGGCGCGGCCGAAGGTGCGAGTCGGGGGGGGGGGGGGGGGGGGGGTGCAGGGGTCTAATGGTCTGATTTCTAGCGGTTTTTATTCATCTTTTTATAGGCCTAGCCAAGGGATGTCTATAATAAAACCTGGGAACAGTGACCGAAGACCCAAAAACAAAGACCCCTATTTTTTCTCTTTTATTTTGATAATAGGATACACACAGCTGTCACAGAATAAAAATTACGATTTTTGTGGGCGTCTGTTTGTGAAATTCTCCAGGGTCTTCGTTTTATAGACTTACACCTCAGGAACAAGACCCCTTACAAATAATCAGCACTCGTCTGCTGGATGGATTACAACTCAAGAATGTCGAACACTTTATCTACTTAGCAGGTTACAACGCATTTTATCATATTCATTTTCTATTAACATCGTCATCACCAATGACCATCATGAATCATCATCATCTTTCTCTAATATTATCATCACCGCCATCCATTCCTTCATTATCATTATCATCATCATCATCATCATCATCATCATAATCATCATCATCATCATCATCATCATCACCATCATCATCAGTTACCATCAACATAATGTACAATTAATCTCATTATCATTATTCTATTATTTTTATTATTATTATTTTCATTATTATTTGTATTATTACTATTTTTATTGTGTTATTGTTAAATTTTACTAATATTTATTGTATTGTGACCGATCGATAGTTTAGCATTTAAATACATGTATTCGATTTTGAATTATCATTATTGTCCGGTTGGTTGATTTAACCAGGTCATCCGGTTTATGTTATGTAAATTGACTTATCACCATAACAACAATCATTTACAGGAGTTTAGATAGACTTCAATAAATAATATATAAACCTACGGTATGGATGAGCAGAATTCAAATCTCTAAAATGCTTGACTTAAAAGAATATAATATTAATATATGTAATTTACTCATTCATTGCTTCTTATAGCTTGTTAGAATTAAATAAATAATTCAAATTAGTTTCTAGTTAGTTGGTTGGAAATAAAAATTATAAACCGAGATATCGGATTATTTTTATGAACATTCGAGTGATCTCAGTATGAGGCACGGCTGTTATAAAATGTCGATGAAAAAAATTGATTCGCTGACGACATCGTGGTTCTAAAACGTGTGTCTATACTTGTAATACTGGAAAGTGAGAGGTTTGTAACTTGTCTTTTGATTACGAAGATGTTATTCAGCAAATGGAAATGTAAGTACTTCTGTTCTCTTTAAAATTCTTTTTAAAACTACACAATGAAATTCTCCAATCTCTCACGATTTTTCTTAAAGCCCAGGTACCAGAGGAAAACATTTTTTTTCTTATAATTATGTTGTGCAACTGATTTTTTTAAGATACAGAAAGCATATTTGACGAAAAACTCGGGAACGGTAAATAAGATACAGATTTTTTAATATTTAAGAACACCTTTTTTTTCCCTAGTTTTTAATTATTTAAAAATCTGTATCTCATTAACCGTTTCGGAGTTTTTCGTCAAATATGCTTTTTGTGTCTTAGAAAAATCAGCCGTACAACATATAAAAAATTGTGGTGAAAAAAATCATCTGGTTCCAAATATAACTTTTTTAGAATTATTATTTTTATGTTGAACCAGAAAACGTAACAATAGATTACCTGTAACATGTCATTGGCAAACTGCTAACTTCTTTAGACTGAGGCCTGTGCTATAGTGGTCTGGTTTGGTCCAGGTTGCACCGGATTGCGCCATCAACCGCCCTTGATGTTTTAACGGTGGTGGTCCCTGGGGGCCCCCCTCCAGCTTTTAATTTGTCCAGCAACCCATCGTATATGTGCGGCAAGTCGTATCCTCCGATGTCTCTGCTTATGTTGGAGTCCCTTTTCTGATGCAAATTGCCTCTTTTATTTTCCTTCTATCTATGTTGGATTCTTTTGCAATGACTGTGGCATTCCAATTAGAAACATGATTGTTCTCTACTGCATGATCAGTGATGGCAGATTTATGATAATAATGTGACGAAGAAGATCTTGAAGCCCGTGTTTCTACCCCCTGATTGTGTGTTAATACGTCTTTCTTGTGTTCGCCAATCCTCACATTGAGCGATCTCCCAGTCTCACCTACATAAACCTTTTCACAATTGAGACAGTTTACCTGATAAACGAGCCCGCACATATCATCATTCTTGATCATTTGGGTGGACTAGGTTGTTTTTCAATTTGTTAGTGGGGACGAAGAAAGTATTGATTTTGTGCTGCGAGAAAGTGCGGCGTATTTTTTCCGAGGTTCCATGACAATAGGGGATACGTATATGGCCTCTCATCTTTTCTCTATCTTTTTTCTTTTTGGCTTGTTCAGACTTGTTATTTTTGGCTACTTTTCTTTTATTTAACTCTATCTATGGACCACTTTGGGTAATTGCATATTAGTACTTTCTTTATATGCTTTAATTCTTGAAATTTGTCCTTTTCATCTACCGAGATCATTAAAAAAATCGCATTCCTTACTTATCACGATAAAACAGATCACTTGCCACTAGCGTGTATAGAACAGCCAACACACTCTGATCACTATATTGATTTTCGTTAAAATCAACAACTTGAACACAAATTAAGCGTGATATACATCCTGGTTGACAGCAGAAACCGTGACTACTGATGAAAAAATTAATTAATTAATTTCAAGAATTAAAGCACTTGGGTAATTGCATACTTTTAGTACTTTCTTTATATGCTTTAATTCTTGAAATATTTTTGGGCGTTGCTCCTTATAGGATAATTATTGTATTCCTCTACACCTGTTTACTTAGCCCTACTACTTAAAGGATACCGTAAAAATAACTGCAGGACGACGTTTAAAATATTCTTGTTCCACTATATTCGTAATCATCCAGCCTAAAATAATACACTGCAAATATATTCATAAAATAACGATATGTCTTTTTGATGTATTGACTCAAATCTCTTGCGTTCATTTCAGGCATGGCATGCTGGCTGTATATATGTACTATGAATGACAACACGTTGGCACAAGGTACGCTATTTCCATTGGCAATCAAGATTTCCACGGGAAGTGGGGAAACAAAAATTCGCAGACTATTTTAATAATGAGATTTTGAACAATGGCAACTCTTGGAGAATGCCTCTGTAGACCTATTTTGTTTATATTCCACCAGCTATTCGGTCTTATTGCTAAAATTGTAGTAAATTGACAGAAAGGGAGATGATGTGCTTTTTTCGCCACTTGATATACTGTAGGCCTAAACAGATTTACTATAACGGAAAGATCACTCGTTTTAATTTTCAATGTGCATGATATGCGCTTATTCGAAAATCATTTAAAATTAATACATCATAGTTAGTGCATCCAATTTTGGATTGTGTACAGCATTCTTTCTGCTTAGATATTTCATGAAGATAAATTTGCTCTGGAACTCACCAATTAGACAACCACGGGACTGGTACCGCTATGCGTAGAGGCAGAGAAATTGAAGCAGTGGGGGTCGTGAGAGTAAAATTTATTTGTATTATTCTACATGCACGCGATGGGTGCCACACTGTTAAACTACACGGTAGCAAAAAAAAGAGTGGGTAACGGGGTTGGAATATAGGTACCGACCAATTTTATTTTCTTTAAGATTTAACTTGAATTAGCATAATTATACCCACCATTGAGTCTCGCTTCATTTAATTAACTATTACCCAGTGGCGGATCCAGGGGAGTTCAAGGGGTTTTTTTTTATTTTGGGGTTTATTGAAAACATTTTGAACCCTCCTCTTTTAAATCCTGCATCCGCCCCTGCTATTACCAGAGGCAATAGGCTTAAAAACCCCATGCCTTTGATCTACTTTAGAATTGGCATCATAAACAAAATCTATACATTAGCTAGATATTATTATTTTTACTATTATTAGAAGTATTATTTTAAGGTCTTTTGTATTATATCATTCTATTTTTGTTATGAATATAATACGAAATGCTTTGAAGTGGTACTCAAGCTGTCCCAGGCCAAACCTGCCATCTGCGAAAGTTCCTACCTAGTCCCTATTCTCTATTTAATTCTCGTCTTTTAGACGACTCTGATAATCTTTCTCTTCCTCTGCTCCAAAACTGTGGAATAATCTTCCTATTTCCATCCGAAATGCTTGTAGTACTGAAGTCTTCAAAAAACTCATTTATTTCCTAAATAATCCTCTTCCTACAATAAACCTTTTCTAAGCGCCTTGTATCCTTTGGCAAAAGGCGCTATATAAATTTCTATATTATTATTATTATTATTATTATTATTATTATTATTATTATTATTATTATTATTATTACTATTATTATTATTATTATAATGTCACGAGAAAAAGGCAGACATTATTTGTTTAACCAAGACTTACAATATGGACATGCTAATAGATTACCTGTCAATATAGTAACAATAATAAAATCATGGGAGTTTGTATTTGTATCTACTATGGTATTCTTTCAAAGGATTGCATTTCATGAATGTAAATGAAAAATATTTATAGTAGTTATTTTACAAGTTTTATAAGCTATTGTATTTTTGTGGGTAAAATTAACAAATACTGGTATTTTTTTATTTGGTTTAAATTTACTTAAGTACACTTCAGTCAGGAATGCCCTATTATTTTTTTTGTATTGAGTGGAATTAAATTGTTTTAAATTAAATCACTTGCTCAGGAAACAATAATAATGCAATTGTAATAAATATACCGGTAGTTTGTATGGTTTTTGAATATAACTATGAAGAAGTAAATAATTACTGTGTATATGGGAAGCCATGATGTGAGATGCTCGTTATGCGCTCTGATCTCCATGCAGTTTCAAAGAATCATGAAGCATTTCTACAGGAATACAGCATCGTAGACGGGGATGGTAATAGGAGTACAGTAGTTAAAGCAGCAGTAGCAATAGCAACAGCAGCAACAGTAGCAGCAGTAGCAACAGTAGTAGCAGCAACAGTAGCAGTAGCAGCAGTAGCAGTAGTGGGAGTAGCAGCAGTAATACTGTAGTAGTAGTAGTAGTAGTAGTAGTAGTAGCAGCAGCAGTAGTAGCAGTAGCAGTAGCAATAGCAGCAGTAGCAGTAGCAGCAGCAGCAGTAGTAGTAGTAGTAACGTAAAAGCATGTTCTGTGTATTCCTTTTGTATTTTAGAATGCCAGGAACCGTTGGGCATGGAATCATTTGGAATACCAGACGAACATATCACGGCCTCAAGTTTTATAAATAGGGCTCCACCGTTTCGAGCACGGTTAAATACCCCCCCTAGTGAAGACGGCTATAACAACGTTTGGAGACCCCACACAGATACTCTAGGGCAATGGATTCAAGTATTCTTAAACGGGGTAAAGATGGTTTCTGGAGTTATAACAAAGGGAAAAAACAAAGACGGTACTGCTCGGTATGTTTCACAGTTTAAGATCCAGCTAAGTACGGATGGCCTAGTCTGGCAAACCATTGTTGACACGAACGGCAATGAAAAAGTAGGCACATATTTTATATATGTATATCAAAATGTTTTTATGATTTTATGACCTTGTTTACTGTAATGTTCTTGTATATTTCTGGAGACGTTTATATATATGACAGTACAATTACTTGGGTTCAATGATGTGTTCTTTATTCAGTGCTCACTACAAGTTGTCTAATTTAAATTCAGTATAAGATAATATACCAACAGGGTTCCTATCTATAAGACTCATGTTACAACTTAGTACCAGTGCTATTTAAAGATCTATTAGTTTAGTTGACTGACTTGTCACTCAATGTCAGATTCAGCTACATTTACTAACTAAAGAAACGCAACCTTTCTATATACATATTGATGAGTGGATTATATATATATATAC